TAATAATTCAGGGTCTTACATTTTCCATGGAAAAAGTACAAGAACACTTACAACAATTAAGAAATCTCAGCAAGACAGACCATAGAAGCACCTTTAATAATGGCTCCTAAATCCACAGCAGTACTTATAAACATCAGAACGTACTTTAAATACAATTTGTTAAGCCAGACGTTTCTCTAACAGCAATTTACTGTAGAACAGTGGTTTTCAAAGTGAGAACCTGTCCAGCAGCATCAGCCATATCCGGGAACTTGCTCAACACGCAAGCTTTCCGACCTACTGAATCACAACTCTGGGGATGGAGCCCAGTATCTAACAAGCCCTTGAGCTGATTCTGGTACATGTTCAAGTTTGAGGACACTGCTGTAGAAGATTCTATAGAGCTTCTGAATAGGTAACCAAGAACACCATGCCTAATTCATTGCATGCTATTAACTCTCATTTTGGCTAAAGCAACCTCTACTTCCCTTTGCCCATCCCTCTTAGTGGGCAACCCAAAGAACAGGACTTTATTAAAAACACACTTTCAAGAGGTCCTTAGAGATAGGTCTAGTGAAAAAGTCATCTATAGATTGTGTGTTACCATAGTAACATGAAGCATCATTGACTCATATAAGAAAGGTCCCTTTCACAGGGGACACTGAATATAGGTAGTTCCTGGGTTACGAATGGGTTCTGTTCCTAAATCTGTCTTTAAGTCAAATTTGTACATAAGTCAGAATAGTCAGGTATGGTTAATATCTGACATCAGTCAAATGTTTGTCTTAGTATATACAGTGCACCTTTCTATGCACAAAAAACATTAAAGAAACACTTCATGATACACTAAAACATCTTTACCATAACAGTACAATAATAATAACAGTAACATTTTGATGTCTATGCAAAGTAGTGCCCATTTGTTATTATGAACCATCATACGTACCTTGAAATTTTACTATCATAGGCTTGATAGGGGTATTTAAGTCACACATTCATAACCCAGAGACTGCATACATTTACAGAAAGATGACTTTTCCCCTGAGGAAAATAAATTTTGGAATAGGAAACTCAGCCTTTAAGTCTTCCATATACATCTTTACATCTCATGTCCTATGTGAACATTCCCTAATATGGCTGCCAGTAAGGAAAACGTAAAGTTTTTGGTAAACCTCCACTACCTACTCTGAAAGATCTCATTTTGTTGTGATGCAGAAAAGACATGTTTTACTTCATGTCCCATACTGGTCCCTCATTCCTGAATTCCACAGGAAAACTGACCTATTACACGTCCACCCATCCTAGTCCATTTAATGCCACTGTGTGCTGTGTGTCCTATGGAGTCCTTCTTTAGGTCTACATCAGTCCTCACTTCTGGGAGCTCCCATAAAAATAACTAATGTTTGCCTGGCACTTTCTCTACCTGCCCCACCCCCCTTCATGGACAAGTGTTAAGAGGCCTTCTGAGACAAAAGCTCTTGCCCTCATGTCTACATTATAAAATCAAATTCATTTTGTATAGTTCATTATTTTTATAGCTTATAAATAGTTTCTATAATTAATATCTCATTTGATTCTCAGAACAACCTGTGAGGTGGTACAACTGCATCATTCCCACTTTACAGATGAGAAAACTGAAAATGAGTACTGACCTCAATACATAACTGATTAATAACCATTAAAGAGGAAACACAAATATTCTGCATAAAAAGTTAAAGAATTCAAGATTTCCAAAAGTACCCCAAAGCTTGCTGGAATTTGTTATCTGCCAGATGATATTCACCAGAAATCACCAGTTAAGTTTTGAGGCTGGATTGTACTTTTCTGATTCAGGAATGGTGGGAACAGGAAGATTAGACAGACAGGCAAACTCTCCCAGTAACAGAATCCACATAACCTGCAATGATACCTGGAATCCTGTGGAGTTCAAAATAACAACAACAACAATGATGATGGTGCTAAGATTAATTAACCTCTTACTAAGTGACAGGCTCCATTCCCTGTACATTAAGTATATTCAACAACCCTATTATTATCCCCATTTTACAGACGATGAAAACAAGGCACAAAGAAGCTAAGTTACTTGCCCAATTTTACACACCTTGCTCCGTGGATGCAGAGGTGGCCTTGCAGCTTGAAGTGCCAAGCCTCTGTGAGGTCTGCCCTGCCACAGATGGAAACTTGGGAGGTTCCTCCACAGGAACCTAAAGTATGTTTCCAATATTGTCATTCCACACTCTCCCCCCAAAATATCAATCAATGCTGAAATTCCAAGTCATAGAGAGCTTCAATTAGGTTCCTAAAAGCCCAGTTCCTTCCTACACTGTACTTCTGAGGATGAGGAGAGAGCCTTATTTTCTAAATCTTGGTTAGCTATGGAACGTTGGCCTGATTCACCCAAATTGCCTTCAACTAACTTGAGAAAAATTAGAGAAGCAAGTACCTGTGGAGACAATGTGCAAATTAAAGATTGCCACTGGTGCTATTTTGCAATCTCGCAGAAAGTGAGGTGGGAAGCACTTCTAGTCAATACACAAAATTCTGATTTTTTTTAAAAGAAATATCAAACCAAAAAACCAAACTCATTGCTGTCGAGTTAAATCTAACTCATAGCAACCCCTCCTTGGGTTTCTGAGGCTATTATCTCTACGGAAGTAGATTGCACAGTCTTCCTTCCGAGGAGTGGCTAGTGGGTTTGAACCACCAGCCTTCTGGTTAGCAGTCAAATGCGTTAGGCACTATGCCACCAGAACTCCCAAAAGAAATATAAATAATAATAAAAAGAATCCTCAGTGGTATAAATTGCTATGCTACTGCATTTTTCTTCTACTTTTTCTGCTTCATACCAGCTTTTACATATTGATCAGCCGTTTTAGATTTATATATCTTTTTTTCTTAAGGAAGGAAACAGATCAAGCTGAAAAGAACATTCTTGGTCAAAAAGAAAAATTACTAATTATATAATTACATAGAATTACATAATTATGATAAATGAATTCAGTCTTCACTGGCAAATATATTATGATGGAGGGCAACTTTCAAATTTGCTTACCTTCATCACTTCCTGCCTCTAATTTTCACTGAATAACCTAAGACCATGTTGAGATCCCATGAGTTCTACAGAAAACTCATAGCAAGCTCCAGGGTTTTCCACAATCTCTCCTCAAGGTAAAGTCCCAAGATGGTACAAGATGGATTGCAAATGAGGTGACTTTTCATGTCCACTCTCCTTCCACACTCTTTAATAATATCAATCCAACTACTACTAACTGTGGGCCCTGTCACTCATCCATAAAACGAGAATGGTAATAATACCTTCCTCAGGTTAGTGTGAAAATTACATAGTTAATACATGTAAAGCACTCAGAACAGTGCCTGCCACAGAGCAAGCGCTCAAATCCCATCCATAATTACTACTCAAAACTCAAATTCATCGCCCTCGAATCAGATCCGACTCATAGTGACCCTTCCTCGGGTGTCCAAGGCAGTATCGCTACGGAAGTAGATTGCCCAATCTTCCTTCCGAGGAGTGGCTGGTGGGTTTGAACCGCCAGCCTTCTGGTTAGCAGTCAAATGCCTTAAACAATACGCCACCAGAGCTCCCCTTATTACTACTACTTATTTGCAAATACATTACAACAGGGAACTGCATACAGGGGGCTTCCATTGCAGCCATAATGTTGCACTGCTTCAAAATATATCTGAAGTCAAAACAACTGTCATAACAAAAAAGATACTTGGGGGGTAGGGCAAACACAAAACGGCTGTAATCAAGCCACCTGTTGGCAAGTTGCAGGTAAGAATACAGCTTGGATCACCCTGTTCCACAATTGCTATTTCCCTTAGATGATGCTCCTCTTCGTTTTAAGTTCTTAATCGGCGTTTCAAGGACAGAACTGCAGGCGGGGCCGTGAACCCCCTTTAGTTGTACACGGAATTGGGTGAGGCTGCGGTTCTGGGCATTTTGGGGGATGGGCTCCACAGCTTTACTCTAGTCAGGTGGCCCTGTAGCAAGCGACGTGCTTTACAGGGTTAAACTCAGGGGATATCGACTGAGCAATTCATTTCACCGAAGGCTGCAGCAATAACCGGGACACCTGGTCTGTTAATCAGCTACCTCAACACCAGAGACCAGAGACACCCAGCTGCTCCAGGGAAAAGAGACAGCCGCGCCGGCACCGCGCTGCGCCCCTCACCACTTAGACCGACCTGTAAACGCCCCCACTGCACACCTCAGCGGCTCCGCAGCCTCGACTTGTGTTTGCAGGGTTTAACTTACCATCCCCTCCTCCATCCCTTGTTCATTTCCAAGAATAAACTCCAAGGAAATTGGCAAGGCTCTGTCTAGGGTTTCACTCCTACTCTCCGCAGACCCCTAAACCACTTCTCCCGGAGAAGTAAATTAAAAGAATCCGAAAAACAAAACAAAACAAAAACCCAAAACCTACCCTACAGCTCGAAAGCACGTAAAGTTCGAAGATTGAGGGCGCCTCTTCAGATTGTAAAAATCAATCTGTGTCTGGGGCTGAGGAGTGGACGGGGCGACGAAAGAGAAGCAGGCAAGGGTCTGCCACAGGGTCCGGCGCCCGCCTTCCGCTCCGGGGCTGTTCGGAGTCTACACGCTTCCGACGCTGGTGGAGACGGGCTTTGAGGCACCAGGTAAGCAGGTAGGTGTGGGCAAGTGTACGAACTCACACAGCCGGGGCAGATTAAAGTTCAAACCAGTTCACACACCGCTTCCCCTTCCCCAGCGTTCTCACGCACAGCCCTGGCGGCCACTTTCCGGGGAAAGCCTGGGGGGCTTAATGGCCCCCACTTCGGAACGGGCTCCCCAAGGCCCATCCCCTTGGTATTAATGACTCTTCTTCCCTCCCTGCCTCCAAACCCTTAAAGGTATTAGTCCCCCTCCACTCTCCTAGGTGGGCATGGAAAAAACCCGGGAAAGACAAATAGAGGACAGCGGGGTAAAACGGGTGGCACGAAGGGCAGGGGGCGCAGAGCGCAGCAGGCGGCATACGTACCCAGCGCGAACAGGGCGAGCTCTCCAGCCGAGGTGACCATTTTACGGGCGGGCAGGCAGCAGGCGCTCCAGCCTCCTGCCCTACCTGCGGTGCCCGAGTGTGGGAGCGGCGCCGCGGTGCGGGGGAAAAAGGCGCAGGGAAGGCAGGGCCGGCCCCCGGCGCGGGCGGGCTGGCAAAGGGAGGGAAGACCCAGCGCGCTCTCACCCTGCCGCGCTGCCTGCCCGGCGGAAATAGGAAGGCGGTTACCGTCACCTCTCCGCCACTTGGCGACCAGAGCAAGGCTGACCACCCTCCCGCCCCAATGGGGGTGCCCCCCTCAGGGCACAGGGGTGGGGGTTTGGAGCTGAGGGCGGGGACGCTGCGCGCTCCAAGCAGGCGGGGTGGGGCGGACGGGCATTCCCAGAGCCGGCAGCAAGAGACCGGCACCCGAGCAGAGGAAAAGGCAGGAAGCGCTTCTTACTTCAGACGCCACACCCAGAGTGCCCGGGCGGTGCGGCCCGCGGGTCCCCGTGCGCGAGGTGGGCGCCCGCGTTGGAGCCCGGGCGTCCTGGGGCGCAATAACCACTTCCAGGCTCTAGGCGGCGTAATGGAGCCCTGGCGACGGTCACCTGAGCCGAAGGCCGCTCCTGGGGGGTTTCCCGGGCGGGGGACGAGGGGCTGGGGACGCTGCCAGGAACTGGACTAGCGAGCTTCTCCAGCATCCTGCCAAGAATTGGCCTAGCAAAAGTCACCCCAGAAGCAAACAAGTATCTGTTAAACAAGGTTTCCCACCTGCACCCCATCCCTCGGTGCTAGGGGCGCCTGCCATCTGTGCATAGCTACCCCACGTTCCCAAACGGGGACATTGTTAAGATCAGCGAGCCTCCATACATCTGGTCTGGAGCTAAAAACGAAAGTAGGTCTCTGTCCACGAGGGACTTGGTTGTCCATGGCCAGCTCCCAAGGCCCTGAGGTCGAGTGGGCAGTATGTAACCAACCGCGCACTGGAGAGAGGGGTGTGTGGGCCGAGGCTACCTGAGCGGCCCTTTCAGGATTTATGAACCATTAGTTGGCCTTTGGTGCTGGAATTTGGGGAGGTGGAGGAGACAGAGGAAAAGCATTCTGAGTGAGGAATGGAAGAAAAGTAAGTTCCTCGGGACAGTGGCCAGTCATACTCTCCAGGTGGCATAAGCACTGACTTTCTCTTATCCCATCAGGTCTGGCGTCTCAGAGGTAGATTCACTCTTCTGATGGAAGTGGGGATGAGTGAGGAAATTCTCTCGCATAGTCCTTGAACTCAGACTCTAGTGGACTTCTGCTAAGTTTGTTTCATATAAGCACAGGGACCTAGTTCCAAAAAGGAGGCATCAGGCAATTGGTCTCAACGTTTGGGCAGGAAGTACCAATATAAAAAGGAATTTTGAAAATGATAAAAATTTACATTGATAAGTTTCTTTTCAATACATTTGCGAGATGATATTTTGTCCTTTCAACCCTAAATGATTTACAGTGAAGGTTTTTGGTACTTCTGCGTGCACCTGTTCCTCAATTCACCCTGTGCATGGCCAATCCCCCTACACAGGGCACAGACACTTTCTTTAGTAGGGTGTCCTGTACTCCCTTGGGAGTCTGTGCCCACCTCCTTCCAATTGGTCTCTGCCTATTCTGGTTCATTTTCTCACCAGCCCAGCCTGCCTGGACAGCGGGAGTGATAGAATCAGCTGATCTCTCTGCCCTTATGTTCTCCAGGCCCTCACCTAGGACTGGGAATAATGTCATCTTGTGTCATCCTAGGATGTGCACAACAAGCTCACCACGTCTGAGGGCTAGCTGTCCACCTGTCGAAGAGTAGGTTCAGTGATTTCCTCTTCTCTGACCCCTGCCCACATACAAAGTTGAGGGTAGAGGGAATTAGCAGCAGAATCAAGCCAATGAGCTTGCCCCCTTCAGGATTGTAAAATCTCTTTAATCAAGAGATAATTTGCCATTTGGTAATGTAAAGAGTGCTGAAATCAAAGTACACTCTAATGCTTGGAAATCTTTAATTCTCTCCCAACATTTTCAAGAGCTGGACCATATCTGAAGGAGCTATGGTGGTGTAGTGGTTAAGGCATTTGGCTGCTAACCAAAAGGTTGGTGGTTGAACCCACCAGCCACTCTGCAGAAGAAAGATGAGGCAATCTGCTTGCATGGAGATTTATAGCCTTGGAAACCCAATAGGGGCTGCTTTGAGTCGGAATCAACTCAATGGGAGTGAGTTTGGTGTTTGGGGTTTGGAAGATATCTGTAATTTGATAACTTCCTAGTTAATTCAAATCAAATAGACAATCAGGATTTTTTTTTCCCTTCTACATAGTTGTTTTTTTTTTTTTTTTTTAAAAAAAAAAAAAAAAACCAAACTCACTGCCTTCGAGTCATTTCCAACTCATAGCGACCCCTCCTTGGGTTTCCAAGGCGGTATCCGTATGAGAGTAGATTACCCAGTCTTCCTTCTGAGGAGCAGCTGGTGGGTTTGAACCTCCAGCCTTCTGGTTAGCAGTCAAATGCCTTAGGCACTATGCCTTTTGGAACTAGGAGGAAACTTAATGTCCTAAAATATTAATTCTATGACTTATTTATCTCATTTAAGCCTCAGAACAATCTTGTGAGATAGATCTTATCCTATACAATAGGATAAACCAAAACAGAACCAAACACACTGCCATCCAGTCAGATCTGACTCATAGTGACCCTTCCTTGGGTTTCCGGGAGGTATCACTGTGGAAATAGATTGCCTAACCTTCCTTCCAAGGAGTGGCTGGTATGTTTGAACCACCAGCCTTCTGGGTAGTAGTCAATGCCTTAGGCACTACACCACCAGAGCTCCTCATACAATAGGATATCCTACAAAATAATGAAAACAGTTGAAGCCAAGAGTTTGGTAACATATGCAGAACTACACAGTCAACAAGTGACAGAGCTCAATTTTGAAAGCAAACCTAGCCAGCTCCAAAGCCCATATGTAGGCTTCTAGGCCATGCTGCCTCAGTTTCCACATATTTAATAGGATAATACCCAGTTTGTTGGATTGATTTGAGGACCAAATGTAAGAATTTGAAAATTTAGCACAGAACTAGATATGTGTTGAATGAATCTAGCTATTATTTAAAGAGTAATTCCCTCAGTAGACATACCTTCCCTTTCTCTCAATTCCATACCATTATCTTTATTTTATCATTTCCTTATTAGTTCCCTGCTTGTATATATGAAAATGCACACACACACACACACACACACACTCCTTTCTATGGGAGATAATTTCACAGGTGAAGCAGGAGCCAATAATTTCAGGGTTTGGGAGCCTGTAGAGTGAGTGGAATGAGAAAAAAAGTTTCAAAGAATGTGATTTAGAGCAAAGAAATCATTTTTCCTAAAGGGTAGTGTGATATTTCTGTATTTTAGGAGTGTGGATGTTACTCTCCAATATTTTCACACTAAGTAAACTTCCAGCTGTAGCCTCTGGAAGCTATGTGGCAACTCAGATGTGCTCCTTCACCCTACAGACACCGTACCTACTGTCTCGCTTTGCCGCTGGAGTCCTGACTGTGTTCATGTAGAACCTATGTGGCTTTCCCATGAAGATGATCCCTGGACTATCATCACACACAACTTTGTTTCAGTTGGCCTTAAATTCAGCATAATCCCTTCTGTAAAATAAAATGAGCCATGGACCACTAGCCTCTCCTACTAGCTGTACAAACTTGAGAACTATATTAGTTCCTACTCAGAGGCCAATAAAATCCCACTGTCAGTTTTCTCTTTCCTTTCCTCTACATACTTATTACAGAAGTGTGTGTTTAAATAGTCTGTTTCTTCACTGTAATCAGCCTCCCCCTCCTTCCTGAATCATTTGTAGAAGTGATTGTGGGGCCATGAGCACCAGAGTCTTCCCTGAATGATTCAGACCAGCTGAGCTGCTGTTTGGAATTACCCAAGATACTAGTGAGTAAACAGCCCCGACATTCTTAGGGAGGAAGCGCAGCCATGGGCCACAGCATCAGAGGAATTGCAGTTCCTGCAGATAAGCCATGGAGGGCAACAGCCAGAGCTGACTGCAGGTGGCCGCAGGGCCTTCCTGGGTGGCAGCAGCAGACAAAGGGGCTCAAAGGGAAAACAGGAAAGGGTGCCTGGTATAGTCAGAGGGCAAAGGTCAGAAATCATCTGAGAGTGAAAGCACACGGCGTGTGGCGTGCGAGCATGAGAAAAAGAAATTTTATAAAGGACTCTGGAAAACTGTATATTGGTAAGGAAATTGTAATGTGTTAGGGGACTTTGGAAAATAAATCTAATCCAAAATAAAGTATTGTCCAAGAATCAGCCCCCTGTGAGGCACCAGCTATTGTGTGTTTCTTATTTCTAGCTAAAGCAAAAAGTAGGAAACCTTAAACTGAGCCTGTTTTTGCACTTTTCATCACCAGCTTTATGTGCAGGAGAAGAAGAGATAAGAGGAGTTTTCTCTGTCCTTAGCTACCTAGATGATTTTCCTTGCCAGTATTGTACCAACACTAGTCCTACCTTCTGTTTAACATCTCCCATCCTCTAGCTCTCCATCTGCCTTGGGAATGCACTCTGAAGTTTTTATTAAGCTTAAATCTTTCCTTCTCAAGGGATATCACAGATGGTTTCAATCCCCATTATTGAAGGCTGGAAGTTGGTGGTCCACGGTTGGTTCAAGCAGCTCCATGTTATCAATGCACTAGGTTGGTTGGAGTCTCTAAGACTTAGGGTCACTAGATGGCTGCTACAGCTAGAGATGCTTTCATTTCTCACAGCTCATGACTTCCCTGGATAACCAGGATGCTGTAGAGGTGCCCACAAAATTCAGCACAGCTGAATTCTACTTGGAGTCAGAAGACCTATGCATTCAATCCTAGGAGTCTTTGCTGTTGTGGTGAAATGTGTTCCTTTTGCCTTGGTTCTTTGGAAAAACAGCTCAAGAGATTTTTCTCCTGAACCCTAAGGAGTTATCTTTGCCCTAGTTTTCTACTCTAGAAGGTTTGTTACTTTTGACTAGGTTGATTGACATATCCTGGGTAAGCTGCAAACAATTTGGTTTGATGCTTTTTTGTTTGGTCCTGGGCTGCAGCCTGCCTGGTGTTTGGTATACACCTTGCAGGGACTGGTCAATAAACTATGCAAATGAAGTGTCTGTAGTTTTTGGAGAGATTAGTCAGTTCAGTGGCTCCCTGTGGGGAGTCCATGCCTTGATATTGATGAAGAGTTTGTATATATAAGCAGCCGACCTCACAGAGGCTTTTCAGACAGAAAGACTAAGCAGAGAGAGAGAGAAGAGGCAAGGAACCTTCTAAAAAAGCTGTCACATGGATTAAGGCCTATAACACTGAAGACAGTGAGAGGCCCAGAAGGGGCCGAGGAACAGAGTTGGCAGCAACAGACCAAAGGGCTGTCTAGGAGACCTGTCTAGCTGAGATGAGCTGAGAGAGCTGTCCTGTACTGAAGAAAGGGCACTTTACCTACATGCTTCTTGATTCTGATGCTGAGTTGTACCCTGCTGCTTCCTTAATACTTAATCATAAGTATGGTCTATGAGATCTATGTAGCCATTGCAAGGGATTATTGAACCCAGAAGAGAAATAGTGCCACGAGAGGGACAGCAGCTGGTGTAACAATTGATAACAAAGGCTGGAGAATGAAAGTATGTCTAAACACCATCTCATAGGGA